TCTGGAGTAAGCGAACGCAAGTCACCACCGCGACGATCTTTCGAGCCCATTAAATTCCCGCCGTTCTTAGCTGCGTTTAACGGACGTTTAACGGACTGTCACGTGTACGGCAATTAGCAACAGCAACACAATATGGCTGTGGCCATGTGTAACTCGACGACGACCGACCCTCGCGGCTTCTGCCTCAGCGGAACGAATTTCACAACACAACAGAGAACCACGCTGCGTTCCCAGCTGTTCTAAGTTTTCACAGCAGAGACACGGAACTCAACGGAGTCGAGAACGCGCTGCCCTCCGTTCGGCGGCGCTCATCAGTGGGTGACGCCGATCTGGTTTTCGCTTTGCTGCTGTAGCCTTGGCCTTCGTCTTCGTTCACCTACTGCGCTGCCTTAGAAGTCTTGTCGCATTAATAAACAAACAGTGTGAATGTAATGAATACCAGCCGGCCAGCTACTGACCTGCTTGGGCGTTGTTCTTTTCGACTCTGCTACCTTTCGATAAATAAATCGAAATTTATCTCCCTCACTCATTATCGCGTCTCACACTGCGACCGTACTGTAACTTCCGGTGGACGTTGGGCGTGCGAGGATATGCGATGAGTCGACAGCGTCAGCTGCGACCGCAGCGGATCTGGTGTAAAACCTGTCGGCAGCACGGCTTGCCTGTCGGCTCACGGCCACATCAGCTAAACGATCGCTACTGAGCATCAACCTAATTGCAACACCGTCCGGCCAAGTGTGCCCCACAGTTTTGTCTTCAACGCACCAACGGCTGCGTACCGAGGCTAGTTTCAGGCGATTTCTTTTGCACTGAAACCCCGAAATGCGCCCGACGACCGACATACCAGTCGTTTTTGCTGCTTTAATTTGACAACGATTGCCGACGACGGCATGCCGCAACTGTCCGGCGACGGTGACGATATTCAGGTTTCGATGCAGCTACCTCCTCCACCATCTTCACCCTCATCATCATCATCACCCTCACTATTGGACCGGCAGCGTGTTGATGAATGAAGGCATCCGGTTAGCTGTTGCGACGTGAAACGAGCGCGGTTGACGAGTGAAATAGCGATTCGTTCACCGACAACGTACGCTCGTCTGAGCTGCGTACAAACCAACATCTACCGTTTATTTGTCGAAACTGACCGATGCGATTGGCAATGACCGATCATACAATTTTACCGTCTCTGCAGAGGGTAGACAGCGTTGGACTCCATTTCATGTCGTCCTTTTAAACTCGTCTGATCCAAATTCCGTGTCTGTTCTCAGTTTTGCTCGTTTCTTAAGGACATATGTGAAGATTCACTTCGGCTTCGCGTTAGGAGTAAAATTTTGTAATACTTTCTAAAAGGAAGTAAACTAGCAAACTTCTTTTTGCCAGTAAATCTGGAATATCATTGGTGTTCTGCTTAAGTATACGCATCCCTACCGATCAAGGTGTACCGGTGCTGTTCGAGCATGCTTTTGTCCGACCTAAAACAGTTTTTTGACGGTTTTGTGCATGACGTGATCTCATGTCGTCATAGGCCATACTCTCGTCTGATGAGAGTGCCTCTTAGAGCTGCATTTGGCTGTGACCCTCCTGATAATTGCTTATTCGGTGTAACAATTAGCACAACGTGTAACCCCTGTTGTTGTTGCCCAGTTGTTACTAATCGTTAGGTACTATTAAAATGAAGCAGTCTACTACAAGCACTGTTCAAGAGCTAGAGAACTTAACTTATTGACGCGAATTCTCATACCATTCTTGCACCCAATTTTGTCGCGTTGTCGGTCGGACGGCATGTTTTACAACTGGCATCATTGTCTTCGTATTACCGTGGTACGCGACAGAAAAATAATGTTGTTTTCTCTACGCCCCTTTCTTCTCTGTTCACATTTATTTGGCGGTTGCTTCAGAATCAGACACTGCGGTAACTGTAGTCAGCTATTCGGTGTCAGCTTTAGCTTCTGAACTTTTTCGCACTTCAACTCAGTCTACATGGCATGATCCTCTGAACAACTTGCAGGTAACATTTTGCTTTATTTCGTTGTCTCTGAGCTTAATATGAGCAATGTACCCTCCCAATCCTACCGTTTCAGTTCACAGTCGAAATCTTTTTCCGATACACATTTGCTTTCAATAAGTAAAATTTTCCTTTGCATTTGTCAGTACCTTTCAGAACAACCCTAATGCTTTTCTGAATCTTCCGCTAGACCGCTCTGAAATTTTAATGTAAGCCATTTATTTTTCAGGGCGCTTAATCGTCCCTCTAAAACCATGATTGCCACTATTGCATTCATACGCCTGAGGATGTCATAAGTCATGCAAGGTAAGACCTCGCGGCGTTTTTCACCGCCTCGTTGATCTTATTTGCCTAGGGAGCTATTCACGTAGGCCACGGCTCCATGGAGTTTGAACACCTTCATTGCCAGATGCCCCTCGCATCATTTTGTTCGCTAGAGCCGCCTCGCGAGCATTACTGATGATTTTCAGAAGCTTGTACTCCACATATGCTACCGCTTAGTTCGGAAAAGTTGTTCACATGCTAAGTAGTCATAACGCATAACTTATATTAAGACCAAATTTCACGCCTGTTTCACCACCTCCATGCGGTGGTAAAATGCCACGGTACCATGGCCCTCTAGACGACTAAAAGCAAGAGGCCTACAGAATATGCAGTGAAATATGCACTTGGAGGGGTTATGCGTTTTTTCAGTCTCACTGTCGTGGAGATATTTTCTCAAATGAGAATAACGGAACGATTTCTGATTGGCTAATCGAAGATCAACGATGTTACTAGAGACTGCTATCTGAAACTTAGAGAACTTCAAGTAAAAGCACTCCACTAACTCACGTCATGCACTATATTCCTATTTAGATCATCGGTGAAAACAGAAAATAACATTGCCTACTGCCCCCCTCCCCCCGGCCCTTACTGTCTCTTTCCGGATTTCTCCTGTTCTCAAACTTTAAGATCTAAGAGACAATTGCTGGAAACTGAGACAGCTCAACATATCTGATTGTAACCCCATTAGAAAGTAGATAATTTCGTCTGCTAGAAGAGTGAAATAGTAAAGCCAGTCATTAATGAAGAGAAAAAGAAACTTTATTACCGCTGATGAAATGATGATCCCCGTACACTTCGATGATGAACGATATTTCAAATATAGTTTTGTGCCCAAACCTTACGGTGTGGAGCTAATCTCCATTACGATGCCATCAGATAGAGACCGCACTTTCTTGAAGGAAATTTTGACAACTTTGCGAAAATTACAGCAAACAGTCTCATGCTCTCTTTCAGTAGAGAGATGTTCATTCATCTACATCAAAAGGATGAAGTACAAATACTTCGACTGAAATTGGGACGCGATATTTTTCATGCCTGTGAGTCTACCGTTCCACCGACGTAGCTGCGAATATGATTGTGGTGGCCGACCGACATACACTGAAATAACTTCTGCCAATTTAGAAAACATGGTTACTTAAGTACAAGACGCAATATTTTCATGAGCGTATTTCTATTCAGATGGTGTCATAAACCTTAAATTGGGGATATAGCGATATCGTGGCTGTAAAATATGAAAGGAAAGAAAAGAAACTTTTAATGAAATGTTGGTTGGGACATCGGTTATTCTTCACTTTCAAAATTTAATCATTTTTGTGCCAATCTTTTAATGAAATTGGTTATGGTGGTGCTGATCTCTGTTTCTATGCTATCTGTTAAGAGTAACATGTTTACAAACACAGAGTCTTGCAGTCCTGTGGCAGGCGTAGCGTGTAGACTACTGTTTCCTTCCCACGGAGTAGTATTCATTTATCAACCTCGGAGGGTAGAAGGGCGAGTGACCCCGAGCGGGCCTTGAACTTGGGACCTATCGGTTGTGAGTTCAACGCGCTACCGACAGAGCACGTCCGATCTGAAGCAATGTCTGTTTAATTCCTTACTCAAAAGAACTCGTGAATAAGACAGCGATTGCCCTCCAGTGGAATCGAACACTGCGCCTCCGGTGTTCGAATCGGACCTCTCAGACATGCCACATTGGCAGTGGAAGAACCGATCAACCCACTACGATGATGCTGCCACGATTCTATTATGATAGTAGACCATTTGATGCATTTGTTTTTTGGTTACAGCGGGTTGCACTGACACAAATTGATAGTTTTCAGAGTAGCGAATAGTAAACTGATGCGAAGTTGTTAATTACTGCAAGTGTACGTTCAGAAGACGAATTGAGAAGTCCGTGCTGCGTGTCTCCCTCAGTTACATGATAAGTTCACCAGTCTCTATGAAATCTACTAAACTTATGGATAATCAGGCCCAACTTACGATACTTTTTAACCCTCAGCCAGGTACTTCGATATGCTCAGGGAAATAAACAGTGACTAGACGCTAAATGGTAGATAGTTTTGCGCGAATTCAAACCGATTCTGGGAGAATTGCTTAAATCAAGTGATTAAGTTTACCCTTTGACTGAATCGGTAAAAATTCGTTTACTGATGCTCAAGTGTGATACACTTATCACACACATGGCGAAGTTCAAGGATGCTTTGGTGCAACAGCGTTGCTGTGCTTTACGACCGTTAAACCATTATTCGGCTTATCAGTAACCGCAGTGCTAAACACTGATTCTGAAAATTAAATCAGTCATCTGACAGTTTGAAAGTGGTGTCGAAATTGTCGACTACACTTAATACCGTATCTCAGCATGAACGTCTCAATAGCTGTGTGCAGTAGAATTATCACATTTCTTTCGCAGTTATGCCACTGTTGAATGTAGCCTGGTATGTTATACCGGTAATGTTTTTTTGGAGTTTTTCTTCCTTCCAGGTACAGTGTAGCGCGGTTCAGCGATGTGTTTTCCGTTGAGTGAGCTAAAATCACGACGTGGATGCGGAGAGCATTTGTTAGTACTTGCGCTGGCTGTTCACCTTGGTTTATGTGCGGGATATTTTCTTTCTCGGTCACATGACATCGAATAGTTTTCTCGGCCAGGCTACCGTCGTGTCGTTGTAAAGCCTAATGGCTGAGTTACCATTTCCAGTTTTCATATTTTGTCCCACGTCTCTCATTTTACGACATTTTACGAGTAGCTTGTGCAAATTGCTCGAAACTTGTTCTTTCAATGTTTTTGCAGTTCTTCGTGGGTTGGCCTCGGTCGTCTGGGCAGTGATTCATGCTTCTTCACTGACGCAGTGGTTTTTATATTTGACGCCAAGTTCTGACAAGTTTTTTTCGAGGTTGCACCTTGTGATGATTATCATTCTGATCAGTCAGCCATCAAGTGCTTCAAAGCGCAGTGCAGTCACCAGAAGCAGCCCCAATGGTAGTAGCATGGCTAAACACCTCGCCCATTGTAATATGACCACACCAGAATGCCACTACGTTATTGTTGTTCGCAAGTCAACGACTTATTACTCGTTTTTCAGCTGGTTTTAGCGAAGCAGTGTGTGCGACAAATTCATTGCTCAGGGGAAATGGCCGTTAAAACAAGTTTGGTCCTTTCTCATGATTTGAATCCGACACCTTGCGAGTTTAAATCAGTCTCTGCCACCGTGCCATCATTTTGACCAGTTCGGTCACACGAAGACGGGAATGGGTCGATCTGGGATGCTTTGCCTTGTGAGGGTAGCTATGCAATATGATTCGGTGCCGAAGCGGTGTCACATTTTCTTGTCGCATCGTATTGCATGTAGGATTCTGTCTTCTTGTAAGATCAGCTTTTTCGCCACCGGCTGAAACGATGACTCAACGACGTCAGTTTTCGGATCGCTTGGATATTGCGGCACGTTGTAACGGTGGAACAGAGAGAGGTGCACAGAATGTACACGATGTTGTTGGCGGACGCCTGTTCGTTCGTTG